TTCGAATCACAATGTAAAAAATAGTGGCCCCGTATTGAGGGCCTTCATAAGGTATTACCTCAAAAACTGTCCGAAGTGGGATTCTGAACCCACGCCTCCAGGGGAGACTAGGCGACCTGAACGCAGCGCCTTAGGAACCGCTCGGCCCAAACCTGACATGAAATTGACACGTTCACCAGAGTTGATCGTTGGCTTGAATTAAAACATCAGTGGATTCTTCTGCACAGATGCCGTGATGTCCAAGTATAATGTGCCATTGATTGTGCTGGGGAGTGTCAGTAAAAACCATCCTTACTCTCCAGTCGGGGAATTGAACCCCGGTCTCCCGCGGGACAGGCGGTGGATACTGACCACTATACTAACGAGGAACACATGTAGCATTAGAACATTTCCTGTACCGAGGGAGGGGCCGGCCAATGCGAGCTTCCGGTCACAGCTGTGGCCGGGAATTGCATCACAATGTAAAAATATGGGCCCGAATTGAGGCACTTCATTAGGTTTACTCAAAACCTCTGTCTGAAGTGGGATTCGAACCAAGTCCCTCCAATGGAGACTGCAATCTGAACGCAGCCAAGTCGCAGTTGTAATTGTAATTTGGCCACCTCTTGCGGATATCTGGTCAATGTGAGATTGCCACAGGAAGACACACTCTTTAACGCAGCCAAGTCGCAGTTGTAATGTGAAAACTGGCCATAATTCGGCCACCTCTTGTGGAATATCTGGTCAATGTGAGATTGACACAGGAAGACGCGATTTAATCCCTTCCGAATCACAATGTAAAAAAATTGGCCCGAATTGAGCACTTCATTAGGTTTACTCAAAACCTCTGTCACAAGTGGATTCGAACCAAGTCCTCCAAGGAACTGCGATCGGAACCAGCCAATCGCAGTTTTAAGTGAAAATTGCCGTAATTTGGCCACCTCTTGCGGAATATCTGGTCAATGTGAATTGACACAGGAAGACACACTCTTTACCACAGCCAAGTCGCAATTGTAATGTGAAAACTGGCCGTAATTCGCCACCTCTTGCGGAATATCTGTCAATGTGAGATTGACACAGGAAGACACTCTTTAGATCCCTTTCGAATCACAATGTAATAAAATTGGCCCGAATTGAGCACTTCATTAGTTTGCTTAAACTGTCAGAAGTGGATTCGAACCCACGCCTCCAGGAGACTGCAACCTAAACACAGCGCCTTAGACCGCTCGGCCATCCTGACATGGAATTTGCATCCTTACCACAGTTGACCGTTGGCTTGAATTAAACCAATAAAAACATCATGGCTTCTGCACAGACGCCGCGTTGTCCAAGTATAATGTGCCATTGATTGTTTGGAGTGTCAGCAAACTCCCTCTTCTCCCCGTCGGAATTGAACCCCGGTCTCCCGCGACAGGCAGGATACTGACCACTATACTAACGAGGAACACAAACAATTGAGCATTCCTCGTCAGAGCAAATACTTTCAGTCCTACAATTTAAATATGAGTTGAACATGACGGGATCCAAAACACCTGTAGAAACAGGCATTGGTGGTTCAGTGGTAGAATTCTCGCCTGCCACGCGGGACCTGGTTCGATTCCCGCCAATGCAGCATACACTTTAGCACACTTATGGTAGAATCTCTTCTGTACCGAGGAGGCCGCCAATGCAGCTTCCGTCACAATGTGCCGGAATTGAATCACAATGTAAAAATAGTGGCCCGAATTGAGGCACTTCATTAGGTTTACTCAAAACCTCTGTCACAATGGGATTCGAACCAAGTCCTCCAAGGGAGACTGCGATCGGAACGCAGCCAAGTCGCAATTTTAATATGTGAAAATTGGCCGTAATTTGGCCACCTCTCGCGTAATATCTGGTCAATGTCGCACAAGTCTAAACGTGAGATTGACACAGGACAACTCACTCTCTATATCCCCTTCGAATCACAATGTAAAAATAGTGGCCCGAATTGAGGCGCTTCATTAGGTTTACTCAAAAACTGTCAGAAGTGGGATTCGAACCCACGCCTCCAGGGGAGACTGCGACCTGAACGCAGCGCCTTAGACCGCTCGCCATCCTGACATGAATTTACACGTTCACCAAGTTGATCGTTGGCTTGAATTAAAACATCAGTGGCTTCTTCTGCACAGATGCCGTGTTGTCCAAGTAATGGCCATTGATTGTGTTGGGGTGTCAGTAAAAACCTCTCCTCCCCGTCGGGAATTGAACCCCGGTCTCCCCGTGACAGGCGGGGATACTGACCACTAATAACGAGGAACACAAGTGCATTGAACATTCCTCGTCACGATCAAATACTTTCAGTCCTACAATTTTAAATATGAGGTTGAGACATGACGATCCAAAACACCAGCGAAACAGGCATTGGTGGTTCAGTGGTAGAATTCTCGCCTGCCACGCGGGGCCCGGTTCGATTCCCGGCCAATGCAGCATACACTTTAGCACACTTAGTGGTAGAATTCTCTTCTGTACCGAGGGAGGCCGCCAATGCAGCTTCCGTCACAATGTGGCCGGGAATTGGAATCACAATGTAAAAATAGTGGCCCGAATTGAGGCACTTCATTAGGTTTACTCAAAACCTCTTGTCAGAGTGGGATTCGATCCAAGTCCTCCCATGGAGACTGCAATCTGAACGTCAGCGCTTTAGACGCCTGATGGCCCGGCCAATTGAAGCCAGTTGTTTGATCGATTAAGAGGTGTAATGTGAAAACTGGCCATAATTCGACCCACCTCTTGCGTAATATCGGGTCAATGTGAGTCCGCCACCAAGGTCTAAAACGTGAGATTGACTGGACAACTACCAGCTCTCTAATATCCCCCGTCGAATCACAATGTAAAAATAGTGGCCCGTATTGAAGGGCTCTCATACGTGTACTCTCAAAAACTGTCAGAAGTGGATTCGAACCCACGCCTCCCAGGGAGACTGCGACCTGAACGCAGGCGCCTTAGGACCGCTCGGCCACTCCTGACATGGAATTTACACGTTCACCAGAGTTGATCGTTGGCTTGAATTAAAACATCAGTGGATTCTTCTGCACAGATGCCGTGTTGTCCAAGTATAATGTGCCATTGATTGTGTTGGGGAGTGTCAGTAAAAAACCATCTACTCGCCCATCGGGGAATTGAACCCCGGTCTCCCCGCGTGACAGGCGGGGATACTGACCACTATACTAACGAGGAACACAAGTGCATTGAACATTCCTGTACCGAGGGGAGGCCGGCCAATGCAGCTTCCGTCACAATGTGGCCGGGAATTGGAATCACAATGTAAAAATAGTGGCCCGAATTGAGCGACACTTCATTAGGTTTACTCAAAACCTCTGTCAGAAGTGGGATTCGAACCAAGTCCTCCAATGGAGACTGCAATCTGAACGCAGCCAAGTCGCAGTTTGTAATGTGTAATTCGGGCCACCTCTTGCGGAATATCTGGTCAATGTGAGATTGCCACAGAAGACACACTCTTTAACGCAGCCAAGTCGCAGTTTGTAATGTGAAAACTGGCCATAATTCGGCCACCCTCTTGTGGAATATCTGGTCAATGTGAGATTGACACAGGAAGACGCTATTTAGATCCCTTCCGAATCACAATGTAAAAGAATTGGCCCGAATTGAGGCACTTCATTAGGGTTTACCTCAAAACCTCTGTCACAAGTGGATTCGAACCAAGTCCTCCAAGGGAGACTGCGATCGGAACGCAGCCAAGTCGCTAGTTTTAATGTGAAAATTGGCCGTAATTTGGCCACCTCTTGCGGAATATCTGGTCAATGTTGAGATTGACACAGGAAGAGACACACTCTTTACCACAGCCAAGTCGCAATTGTAAGTGGAAAACTGGGCCGTAATTCGGCCACCTCTTGCGGAATATCTGGTCAATGTGAGATTGACACAGGAAGACACTCTTTAGATCCCTTTCGAATCACAATGTAATAAAATGGCCCGAATTGAGGCACTTCATTAGGTTTGGCTTAAACACTGTCAGAAGTGGGAATTCGAACCCCACGCCTCCAGGGGAGACTGCGACCTAAACGCAGCGCCTTAGACCGCTCGGCCCATTCCTGACATGGAATTTGCATCTTCACCAGAGTTGACCGTTGGCTTGAATTAAAACCAATAAAAACATCAGTGGCTTCTTCTGCACAGACGCCGCGTTGTCCAAGTATAATGTGCCATTGATTGTGTTGGGGAGTGTCAGCAAAATCCCTCTTCTCCCCGTCGGGGAATTGAACCCCGGTCCTCCCCGCGTGACAGGCGGGGATACTGACCACTATACTAACGAGGAACACAAACAAATTGAGCATTCCTCGTCATGAGCAAATACTTTCAGTCCTACAATTTTAAATATGAGGTTGAGACATGACGGGATCCAAAACACCTGTAGAAACAGGCATTGGTGGTTCAGTGGTAGGAATTCTCGCCTGCCACGCGGGAGGCCCGGGTTCGATTCCCGGCCAATGCAGCATTCACTTTAGCACACTTAGTGGTAGAATTCTCTTCTGTACCGAGGGAGGGCCGGCCAATGCAGCTTCCGTCACAATGTGGCCGGGATTGGAATCACAATGTAAAAATAGTGGCCCGAATTGAGGCACTTCATTAGGTTTACTCAAAACCTCTGTCACAAGTGGGATTCGAACCAAGTCCTCCAAGGGAGAGTGCGATCGGAACGCAGCCAAGTCGCAATTTTAATGTGAAAATTGGCCGTAATTTGGCCACCTCTTGCGGAATATCTGGTCAATGTGAGTCGCACAAGTCTAAACGTGAGATTGACACAGGACAACTCACTCTCTATATCCCCTTCGAATCACAATGTAAAAATAGTGGCCCGAATTGAGGCGCTTCATTAGGTTTACTCAAAAACTGTCAGAAGTGGGATTCGAACCCACGCCTCCAGGGGAGACTGCGACCTGAACGCAGCGCCTTAGACCGCTCGGCCATCCTGACATGCAATTTACACGTTCACCAGAGTTGATCGTTGGCTTGAATTAAAACATCAGTGGCTTCTTCTGCACAGATGCCGTGTTGTCCAAGTATAATGTGCCATTGATTGTGTTGGGGAGTGTCAGTAAAAACCCTCTTCTCCCCGTCGGGGAATTGAACCCCGGTCTCCCGCGTGACAGGCGGGGATACTGACCACTATACTAACGAGGAACACAAGTGCATTGAACATTCCTCGTCACGATCAAATACTTTCAGTCCTACAATTTTAAATATGAGGTTGAGACATGATGGGATCCAAAACACCAGCAAAACAGGCATTGGTGGTTCAGTGGTAGAATTCTCGCCTGCCACGCGGGTGGCCCGGGTTCGATTCCCGGCCAATGCAGCATACACTTTAGCACACTTAGTGGTAGAATTCTCTTCTGTACCGAGGGAGGCCGGCCAATGCAGCTTCCGTCACAATGTGGCCGGGAATTGGAATCACAATGTAAAAATAGTGGCCCGAATTGAGGCACTTCATTAGGTTTACTCAAAACCTCTGTCAGAAGTGGGATTCGAACCAAGTCCTCCAATGGAGACTGCAATCTGAACGCAGCCAAGTCGCAGTTGTAATGTGTAATTCGGCCACCTCTTGCGGAATATCTGGTCAATGTGAGATTGCCACAGGAAGACACACTCTTTACGCAGCCAAGTCGCAGTTGTAATGTGAAAACTGGCCATAATTCGGCCACCTCTTGCGGAATATCTGGTCAATGTGAGATTGACACAGGAAGACGCTATTTAGATCCCTTCCGAATCACAATGTAAAAAAATTGGCCCCAATTGAGGCACTTCATTAGGTTTACTCAAAACCTCTGTCACAAGTGGGATTCGAACCAAGTCCTCCAAGGGAGACTGCGATCGGAACGCAGCCAAGTCGCAGTTTTAATGTGAAAATTGGCCGTAATTTGGCCACCTCTTGCGTAATATCTGGTCAATGTGAGTCGCACAAGTCTAAACGTGAGATTGACACAGGACAACTCACTCTCTATATCCCCTTCGAATCACAATGTAAAAATAGTGGCCGGAATTGAGGCGCTTCATTAGGTTTACTCAAAAACTGTCAGAAGTGGGATTCGAACCCACGCCTCCAGGGGAGACTGCGACCTGAACGCAGCGCCTTAGACCGCTCGGACATCCTGACATGGAATTTACACTTTCACCAGAGTTGATCGTTGGCTTGAATTAAAACATCAGTGGCTTCTTCTGCACAGATGCCGTGTTGTCCAAGTGTAATGTGCCATTGATTGTGTTGGGGAGTGTCAGTAAAAACCCTCTCCTCCCCGTCGGGGAATTGAACCCCAGTCTCCCGCGTGACAGGCGGGGATACTGACCACTACACTAACGAGGAACACAAGTGCATTGAACATTCCTCGTCACGATCAAATACTTTCAGTCCTACAATTTTAAATATGAGGTTGAGACATGACGGGATCCAAAACACCAGCGAAAACAGGCATTGGTGGTTCAGTGGTAGAATTCTCGCCTGCCACGCGGAGGCCCGGGTTCGATTCCCGGCCAATGCAGCATACACTTTAGCACACTTAGTGGTAGAATTCTCTTCTGTACCGAGGGAGGCCGGCCAATGCAGCTTCCGTCACAATGTGGCCGGGAATTGG